CGCGCGCTGTATCATAAAGTCTGTCATTGAGTCGACTGGCGTGGTTTCGAATCCCCGGTTGTACGTGACAAGGAATAAGGGCGTCTGTCCTACCCCGTGGGTTTTCTCCGGGTCCTCCCACTGCTAAAGACCCCTATGCGCAAGCGAATTATTGAAATAAAATTAAACGATATGTTAGTTCCGAAATGACCTAGCTTGTGTCGAGTGGGCGTTAAACCCCATTTCTCTCTCTGTGTGGGCCACAAGACACATAAGATTTACTCAAAGACAGTGGAATTCGGTTGTCTTTAGTGACGAATCTCGATTCACTTTGAGATTTGCCGATGGCAGGGCCCGAGTGTACTGCAGACGAGTTGAACGTTACGCTCAAGTATGCGTCAGAGAAGTTGACCGATTTAGTGGCGGCAGCGTCATGGTTTGGGGTTCTTTTTGTGCACATGGACGTCCTCCTCTTGTTGTTGTCCAAGGGAACTTAAATGCTGTCCAGTACAGGGATCAGATTTTGCAACCTGTTCTTCTTCCGTTTATGCAGAGACATGGGCCTGGACTAACGTTTCAACAAGACAATGCTCGACCCCATACAGCAATTGCTACCCAGAATTTTTTAAGAAATGCCGGTGTCCAAGCCCTGGATTGGCCGTCGCTTAGCCCCGACCTTAATCCTATTGAACACATCTGGGACGAACTGGGTCGACGTGTTCGTCGGCAAGTGAATACACCACTGACGTTGCAGGACCTTTAACATGCCCTTGCTGAGCAGTGGCGACGTCTTCCTCGGGTAGTGTTTACTAATGTTCTGAGATCCATGAGAAGACGTTGTGTGGCAGTACGAGACGCTAGAGGAGGCCACAACCGTTACTAAACACTTTATTCCGATTGTTCTCCAAGTCTGTGAATTTCATTTTGGGGGGGTACTGTGACATCACGAATGTTATCAATGTCAAGGACTTTCGGCGAGACGTATTCTTGCTTTCTGTTGATGTCAAGGTCGTCTGTGCACAACATAACGCTAAAATAGTTGCCTTAAACCAAATATTAAAAATCTAGTCCCAAAAATCCTGAGTGTCAAGTTTTTAATTTGGCTGAGTAGTTTGTTTTTCCAACGTGACAGCATTCCTCCGAACGACTCCTTCCACACACAGCTCTAGGCCAGTTGATAATATAATCTATGCCACAAAGGTTTCTTATAGCAAGTATTACTATTTCATTTGCACTTCTTTTTTTTTTTATTTCTTTGTATGCCGCTTTATAATATACATTTCTGTTCTACTTTTTAATTTATTAATTATCTCTTCTATAGTTTCACATGTTTAACCATCGTTAATTTTGTATCTATAACTGACAGACAACATAAACTGAAAGTCTCGATGAAGCCACCAAGTTTTAAAATCAGTTTGGAGTCCAACTACTAAAACGCGATCGATGGATGAACATACCATCATTTCACGCAATTGTAAATGGCAGAAATCGAACTGCCGCCGAAAACATATATTGCACAAAAACCCGACTACTTAATCAAAATCAGCACATCGTCCCATTTCCCCGTCACAAATGGCAGCCATATTAGAAATATTCTAAATATGTGATCATTTTAAAGCTGTATACGACAGAAATGGAATCTGCACCCCTAAAACATATCCTGATACCATAGACGACTACTTAATCAATATCAGTGCATCGTCCCATTTTCCCGCCAAAAATGGCTGTCATCTTGGAAATATGTAAATTAGGTACTTTTGCGATCAATTTACACAGTTGTTACTGGCAGAAATGGAATCTATGCCCCTGAAAACATATATATTATATTGACACCAAACACTCCTACTTAATCAAAATCAGCATATCGTTCGATTTTCCCGCCAATAATGGTCACCATCTTTGAAATATCTTCATGAAGTGATGGGGAAATATCTGAAATATAGTCACGACCCCTGCCAATATTAAAACATTGCTAAATCACAGTTGATATGTCGATAACATTATAAATAAGGGGAAAATAAAAAAAATAAGTTGCAATATTATCGGAAAATGGCTGCCCTCAGATAATGGCCTCCCATACTATGAAGACCTACTCAGAAAAAATGTCAACATTGTTTTTTTGTCATTTAACATCAAAACCTACAAAATAAAGCTTATTCCACGATTTTTACCCGAAAAGCCGACGGATGGGAATTATGTAACAAACCTAATCGGACTATCAATTGTAAAAATAACAAAGATAAGTTGCCAGGCAACAAAACATACGCCCACCGCATCAAAATCGTCCGGGCGGTCGACAAGGGTTGTCGCATATTTATTCCTTTGTAGGTAATTGGGGGCCTTTACAAGACAGTTCCATACAGATCAGATTATAAATTTTGTCGTTCGAGGGTTTACAAGGTTCTACAAACTGAAACAAGGGTCTCAACTCTGGAAGTAATCTACAGAAATTGTTGAAATTTGACAAGCTTTTTCGTTTTACTAATTTAAATAATGCATATAAATTCCATACAGGTCACATGATCAATTTTGTCATTCAAACGTTCACAATCGCCATATTTCACAAATTTAAATGATGCATAAAAATTTCATACATATCGGATGATAATTGTTGTCATTAGAGTGTTCACAAGATTTAACAAAGTGAAACAAGGGCAATAACTCTAGAAGTAATAATTTTAAATTGCTGAAATACTGTAGGCTTTTTCGTTTCACTAATTTAAATCATGGGTGGTAACTTTTGGCGTTAGAGCGTTCATAACTCTAGGGCCATAACTCTAGACGTAATAAACGGAAATTGCTGAAATTCAATAGGCTTCTTCGTCTCACTAATTTAAATAATGCATATAATTTTCAGAAAGATCGAATGATAACTTTTGACGTTAGAGCGTTCACAGGGACCAATAAAGTGAAACATGGGTCATAACTCTAGACGTAATAAACAGAAATTGCTGAAATTCAATAGGCATTTTCGTTTCAATAATCTAAATCATGCATATAAATATCAGAAAGATCGGATGAAAACTTTTGACGTTAGAGCGTTCACAAGGTTCAATAAAGTGAAACAAGGGCCATAACTCTAGATGTAGTAAACAGAAATTACTGAAATTCAATAGGCTTCTTCGTTTCACTAATTTAAATACTGCATTAAATTTCAGAAAGATCGCTGATAACTTTTGGCATTCACAAGGTTAATAAAGTGAAACAAGGGCCATAACTCTAGACGTAATAAACAGAAATTATTGAAATTCAATAGGCTTCTTCGTTTCACTAACTTAAATATTGCATATAAATTTCACAAAGATCGTATGTTAACTTTTGGCACAAGGTTCAACAAAGTGAAACAAGGGTCATAACTCTAGACGTAATAAACAGAAATTGCTGAAATTCAATAGGCATTTTCGTTTCAATAATCTAAATAATGCATATAAATATCAGAAAGATCGGATGAAAACTTTTGACGTTAGAGCGTTCACAAGGTTCAATAAAGTGAAACAAGGGCCATAACTCTAGATGTAGTAAACAGAAATTACTGAAATTCAATAGGCTTCTTCGTTTCACTAATTTAAATACTGCATTAAATTTCAGAAAGATCGCTGATAACTTTTGGCGTTCACAAGGTTAATAAAGTGAAACAAGGGCCATAACTCTAGACGTAATAAACAGAAATTATTGAAATTCAATAGGCTTCTTCGTTTCACTAACTTAAATATTGCATATAAATTTCACAAAGATCGTATGTTAACTTTTGGCACAAGGTTCAACAAAGTGAAACAAGGGCCATAACTCTAGACGTAATAAACGGAAATTATTGAAATTAAATAGGCTTCTTCATCTCACTAATGTAAACAACATACATCAATTTTAAAACAATTGGATGATAACTTTTGGCGTTAGAGCGTTCACAAGAAATTGCGGACGATGGACGGACGGACGGGGGCGACGGCTATATACGTCCACATTTCAATGTGGGCGTATAAAAATAGATACCGGTTCTATACTTCCATTCTCAATATTTAGAATAACTGGAAAAACTTAAGTTTTTGCTTTTCATTTCCTATAAGGAATGAATCGTTACATAGTTTTTGATCGTCTGTTTAAGGCAAGCAGAGATAAGAAATTTGATTGGTTGATTGGTCATAATGGGTCCAAAATATGAACTTTGTCACCAGTCTTAAGTCAAGCATTTTCAACTTTTGTCGCTCTTAAGTGATATTTTTGGCTACCTGACTAGGTTAGCTAGCTTTTAGACTTTGTTTCAGCTATGGACTCTAAATTTTAATTACGGTCAATAAATAGTGCTAATTAATTAAGCTCGTTATAAGTAGCATTAGCACAACAGTTTATGATCTAAGTCATGCATTCTGTTTATTAGAGTTAAGTATGAAAGATTTGCAAGAAAATTGTGGATGGGCATTGAATTTTAACTCCCATTTTGAGAGGGTTAGGGGGAGTGCTCCCATGTATATGCACAGGTTACAAAACTTTGAGATACATTATGGGAGATTCGATAACGAGTTGTCTGTTCTCACTATAATAATAGTTAAAAACTAGATAACGTAAAGGCAATTTGCTGAAAATTTCATTCAAATTGATCCACTATGAACCGAGAACTAAACGAATGAAATTTCTGCCTAGCCTCGGTCATCATTACTAAAGTCAGTACGATAAACAGCATAGTCTCGATTATCCATTTAATCGTTTAATCGAGAAGGAAAGTTATGCAGTAAATCGGCTCACAATCCACTTAAGATCGCAGGCTAGCGATGCCATCTAGAGTTGATTATGATCTGGATAAGTTAATTAATTAAAGAAAGACCTGCAATAGACAGATTTAGCTCTTGCATAATGTATGTTTAAGACTTGCCTTTCCAAAATGATCCAGTACCAAGGGCAAAACCTAAGTAAGTTTACCTCAAATGTCGGTCTTTTGTTGCCAGTGAAGACAAAATATGCAATTATGGATGGTATCAGTATTTTTCTTTTGACAGTGTGAGTAATTTTTAATTTGAGAGAAGAAAGAGGTTAATACACATTTTAATATCAGTTATTAATACACATATTAATATCACTTTTTTCATTAATAATACACATATAAATAACAGTTATTAATACATATATTAATATGAGGAGAGAAATGGGATTAAACGTTCAATCGACACAAACTAGGTCATTTAGGACTAACATATCCTTCAATTTTATTTCAATAATTCGCTTGTGCATAGGGGTCTTTCTTTAGCAGTGGGAGGAAACCAGATCACCTGGAAGAAACCAGAGGACCCTGAGAAAAGCCACGAGGTTGGACAGGCGATCCTACTCCTTGTCACACACAAGTCGGTAATCAAAACCACATTACTTGACTCAATGACATACCTTATGATCTCACCTGAGTAAAATCACTAGACCACCTAACCCCCTATTAATATCAGTGATTTATGAGTGTAATAACAAACTACAAAATAGACATAAATATTTTGATGAAATGATATTACATAATGTTTTATATTTACAAGTTGAAATAAAAGCTTTAAAATTACAACAAACATAATCAATAATAATCATAATATCATATATTCATGTACATTTCTTATAATTATATTTTTGTTTGTTTATTTCACTGATATTATTCTTATCTTTATAAAAAATACAAATTAAATACTGATTTTTTTTTTCAATCTAATAATGATACATCTTTGTACCAGAATGTGTTTCAGTGCCGTTTGTAACAAGGGACTTGAAGAACAAGGCTAGACATATCTGACAAATCATGTCAAACGGTGACGCCATATTCTTATCTGGAGAGCATGCCAATAAATACCACCAGTGTAGACTGGATAACCAGACGCTAGGGCTGCAACGATACACCAGGGCACGATACAATGCGCATCATGACTTAGTCTATATTATTAATATCGTGATATAGGAAATAAATTAAAAAAATGCTGTGAAAATTCAAAGGCCTACATTTATGATTTACTTTAAATGTGGTGTTTTCTCGGTCAACTGACCGGATTTCATTGCTGTCATGCTTAACGGGAAATCCTACGAACTCCCATACTTGTGACTTCACTTATACTTGGTATGGGGGATTTCGATCTCAATATTGCTTTTGTCGATCGTGTGTCTTGAATTTAGTGAATTCATTTTGAAAAATTTAAGCTGGCTGGCTCGTACTACCACAACAATTTCAGCCAATGAAAAAAAATGAAATGAAATGAAATGGGGTTTAACGTCCTACTGTTCTGTTCCTAACCTGGGCTAAATCGGAAAAAAAAAATATGACCACTAGAGAATCTGCAAGCTAAAAATGTTATTTTTCAAACAATCAGGAGCCATAATCCGGGAAGTTACATTCGGATATACGCGATTATCAAAAGGAACCAAGATCTTAGCGTGTAATGGTGATATATTCACCTGTTAAGATATCGCAAGCAAAAATGACTGTCCATTGATTTGGGGTGTTATATTCCCTTACGATGTGTGACATCTAAGACTACATGTAGCTTATACATGCTGTCGGTTGGTACATGCTGTGATTAACCAAGATCTTAGTGTGTAATGGTGATATATTCACCTGTTAAGATATTGCAAGCAAAAATGACTGTCCATTGATTTGGGGTGTTATATTCCTTTACGATGTGTGACATCTAAGACTAGCTTATACATGCTGTCGGTTGGTACATGCTGTGATTAAAATTTCCGACAAGTCAATGTAGAAACCATGAGGTAAACACGTAGATTAAAATAAATTATAATCACTCTTATTGGATTGATAAATAGTCTGACAAAGGCGAAACAATGACTTCTTTTTAAGATTAGATTGATGAATTGTCCGATAAAAGATTAAGTCAGTCAATCATGGTGGATTAAGCAGTTGATCAAGGTAGGTGACATCACACGTATTCAGCTGAACATTACGGAATTTACTGTAATTCACATCAGAGACAATTAATGCAGTAGTTTACTAATCAGATGGAAACACTCTGGAATATCAACTGAGCACCCGTTGTTGATACTATTGAGATGGTAACTGGTCTATTGGGGTGTCAAATTTAAAGTCTTCAGGAAACAACATATGTGCTTTAGGATACATGAGTTTGTATGATTGTCTGATAGTAACTTCTGCAACACCAGCAATTTCTCCAATCTCTGAAGTAACAAACACAAAAATTAACACATTACAAATCATTTACAATTTTTTAAGCAATAGGCAAACCCTGAGAGAGAGAGAAAAAAAACCCAGTCAAAATGACTCAAAATATTTTCATAAAATTGGAATTAGTCCAAACAATATACATAGTTTCAGATTCAAAATTTTTACAAAATATTTTCATATGGCATTTAAATTTCAACTACTAATATGAGACCTTGTGGATATTTACCATAGTAAATTCAAGCTTCTGCTATATCAAATTTTAAGATTTGACATCCATTGTATTTATAGTAACCAATCTGATTAAAATACAGATCTATATTTCGTTTTGTTTTTTATACTTTCGATGGCCTACACACACTACATGAGATCTGACCGGTTGTAGCGATAGGTCGCGTCAGAGGTCATACCAATCACCATTAGTGTTACTAGTGGATTACCCACAGTTCCGTGCAAAACACGCCTAAAGCTCGCCGTAACAGACCATTTCATTGGCTAATACCTCACACCATCCAGAACACGTCAATGATAACAACTCTTCCAGATCCTAGTGTAGTAAAGACAAGTAAAACGAAATTTTGAACTATAAAAACCGAAACAAAGTAGGACCTGTGTTTTAATCAGATTGTATAGTACCTGTAGTATATGCAGGATGACCACACATAATGAATTAAAAGCTCAGGAGACAAACAACAATTTTAATACGTCGAATAGTGGATTGAAATAGTTGTTAGTAACTAAATGGTTTTAGTTCACAAGTTTTATTATTAGTTTAATATTTTGTCACTCAGACCTGTACTGTATTCCCACATACACACGGAACATTGATCAGTCCATAGGTGCACAAACAAATCAATGCCATAAATCAAACTGGATTGAATATAAAGGCGGGGGACAATTAGATACGAAAATTATACAAATGTACATTGACAAGGACCGCACTTGACTATTTCTCTAAATTTTTAAAGAAATACCCATTTCCCTGTTTTAATTACGCTGTTAAGGAAGGTATGGGGTTCGGCAAAAGATCATCGAAATGCGGAGGAGCGCGGTTTCTACTAAAAGTGTGACAATTCTGGCTATCACGGTTATCTAGTACTGTAGACAAGTAAAAAAGCATGTGACATTCAAGAGTTACAGGGGGCATAACTCCGTGCATTTAAGTGGTGGCGCTTACTGTTAAACTGCGAAGAATGATTATTTCTTTTCACAGCCAATTTATTTCTCGGCTGTTTGCTTATTATAATATTAATAATTAATTCATATAGCTCCGACAATTCAACACGGCGAGCTGCTCTACACATAAGTACAACTAATATAAAATTAAACAAAAAACAGAGAACATTATTTAGTACACATGGTAAAAGTCCGACACACACACAGCTATAACCACATTCAATCAGCAGTATATTGGATTAAAAAGTTAGGTTTTGAGATACTTTTTAAAACCTTTATAATAGAATTTGTGTTTTTGGTTTCGTTTGATATTGAATTCCATAACTTTGGAGCACCGACTGTGAAAGATATATTATCAGAGTTGTTTTTTGAAAAAGGCTTAATTAAGAGGTTGCCCGATTGTGATTGAAGGGTTCTGCAAGGTTTATTGGTGTTAGGAAGGTCTCTAAAGGTATTGAGGTGAAGAATCATCATTTAGAGCAGAATACGTAATAGACAGTATTTTAAAATTGATACGTTGACAGACTGGAAGCCAATGGAGATCTTTCAGAATTGGTTTTAGTTCATTTTGTTTAGTCTTGGTTATTTGTCAGCATCTGGAGATTGCATTTTACATGACATTTTTAATAATACAAATGTAAAGTTTAATATACAGGTCACAATTGTATGGTATACAATTACTGCTTATTACTGAGCAACCTATCGACAAGGCTTCTCTAGTCATTGTATTCCATAGAATTGTGACCTGTATACTCTAGTTAAATTACTAAATGCCATTGAAACAGTTTAAAGTTTAATAGCCTACGATGATGTACCAGTCTAGAAATTAGGTTGATATAAAGAAATTGATGACAGTACCAGTTTCCGCGACTGTACTAAATTGCACGCTCGGTTACTGAATCTTGAGTTTTCGAATCTTTTCAATTTTGTTAACTTTTACATTTAAAAAGCAGTAACCTGATAGATTGAAATACAAAGCTACCCTTATATCGGCTTTAAGTGTAGACTACTGAATGTGGTGTAGAATCATCCAAATTGCACCATATTGCATAGGTTAATTCCTGTCTATGGTGCTCAATTTGAGCTCTTTAGGTTCAGGCCTTCAACTCGCAAAAAAGGGCCACCTACAGTAATAATGAATGAAAGCCCTGCATTAATACGGTAAAAATCATGGGGGTCAAGTAAAAGTGAGTTTGAAAGTTAGTGGTGCAGACTGATATCTATGGTAAATGGACGTTAAGTAATGGCAAATACATTCTGAAAAATGGACCCTCCCTCAATCAAGCTAGATGACAACCATGGCTTCTAAGGATAGATTTTTCTATAGTTTGGGGTATCTCCCTGCGAATACAAAGTTCTTGATAGATTTATTGGTTTGAATAAGCTTTTAGAACAAATATATCATTAAATCACACAGCTTGTACGCAGGAAGGTATCTTTAAATACAAACAAGATACTGACCTTTTTGAGATTTTTTGTCTGCTGATGCTTGCGAGGCCATATATATGGCAGCAGCAGCGACAGATATAGGACTTCGACTGTAATGAAAGACAATCAAATAAAAGCATTTATAACTGTGTTGGACATGCATTAAGATAAACAATATTAGAAAGATAGGTTGCCAGGCAATGAAACATACGCCCACAGCAGCTAAATCGTCCGGGCAGTCAACAAGGGTTGTCGCATATTTTTACTTTTTTCGGTAATGAAACATTTATAATACACTAAAATCTGATTAAGAGCAACAATTCACAAAGTAATTATCAGAAAACTATTAGAATTTGTTTGGTTTTTATAAAGTTCTGCCCCATGCTAACGTTTTGTATGCAAAGCTTTTAATATCATGGATTTAACTGTTCAAGTCATAAAAATTCATTGAAAATCAATATACTTGTTCGTCTCAAGATCTTAAACTCTGTGTATCAATCTGAAGTCAATCGGATGAAAACTTTAGCCTTTAGAGCGTCACAAGATTTTGCAAAGTGATCAAGGGCCATAACTTTCGCAGTAATTATCGGAAATCGTTGAAAATCAACAGGAATCTTCATCTCATGACCTCAAACACTGTGTATAAATTGAAACTCAATCGGATATTAACTTTAGCCTCTAGGGCATCCACAAGAATTTTTGAAGTGATCAAGGACCATAACTTTGGCAGTAATTATCGGAAATTGCTGAAAATCAATAGGCTTCTTCGTCTCGTGACCTTAAACACTGTGTATAAATTGAAAGTCAATCGGATATTAACTTTGGCTTCTAGAGCGTCCACAAGATTTTTCAAAGTGATCAAGGGCCATAACTCTGGCAGCAAATATTGGAAATCACTGAAAATCAATAGGCTTCTTCGTCTCATGACCTTAAACAGTGTGTATAAATTTAAAGTCAATCGAATATTAACTTTGGCTTCTAGAGCACCCACAAGATTTTTTGAAGTGATCAAGGGCCATAACTCTGACAGTAATTATCAGAAATCACTGAGAAACAACAGGTTTCATCATCTTATGACCTTAAACACTGTGTATAAATTTAATGTCAATCAGATATTAACTTTAGCCTCTAGAGCATCAACAATTTTTTGGGAAGTGATCAAGGGCCATAACTCTGGCAGTAATTATCGGAAATTGTTGAAAATCAATAGGTTTCTTCGTCTCATGACCTTGTGTATAAATTTAAAGTCAATCGGATATTAATTTTGGCCTTTAGAGCATCCACAAGATTTTTTGAAGTGATCAAGGGCCATAACTCTGGCAGTAATTATCGGAAATCACTGAAAATCAATAGGCTTCTTCGTCTCATGATCTTAAACACTGTGTATAACTTAAAAGTCAATCGGATATCAACTTTGGCCTTTAGAGCGTCCACAAAATATTTTGAAGTGATCAAGGGCCATAACTCTGGCAGTAATTATCGGAAATCGTTGAAAATCAATAGGCTTCTTCGTCTCATGACCTCAAACACTGTGTATAAATTTAAGGTCAATTGGATATTAACTTTGGTCTCTAGAGTGTCCACAAAATTTTTCAAAGTGATCAAGACCTTAAACACTGTGTATAAACGTAAAGTCAATCAGATATTAACTGAGGCTGATGTCCCTTGCCGAAATCCCAAAATAAATAGATGACACATATTAATTAATTGCAAATTTATTTTTTTCAAAGTAATGAGTAATCAAACTCATTATCAACTCTACACTTAAGTTTCATCACTCTCTAGTTATCTTGTCCCAAAGCACTGAGCAATGTTCCAAAGTCTTGAGCAATGTAATTGCTTAATACTCCTTAGCCTAAGTAGAAAATTCTCATCAACGAACTTAGTCAAGGATGATATAATGAATCTATACTCTCACTTAATTATAACCAAAGTTATCGTGTCCCAAAGCATTAACGAATCGAATTGCTCACTGCTTGCCATAAGCAGACAATGTTCATCATTGAAGTCCATCAAGGTATTCACCTAATGAATGCCTACACCAAGTATGAACATTCTACCTCAATTAGAAGGAGAGTTATTGTGTTCCAAAGTCTCGACCAATCAAATTGATTATCGCTCTGCTTACCCTCAGCAGAAAATGTTCATCATCGAACTTAGTCAAGGTATTGATGTGATGAAACTATACACCAAGTTTCATCACTCTCACTTAATTAGAACTAAAGATATCGTGTCCCGAAGCATCAACCAATCAAATTGCTTATCTCGGCTTACCCTGAGCAGAAAATTCTCATCTTCGACCTCCATCAAGGCATTCACCTTATAAACACCTACACCAAATGTGAACATTCTAGCTTAATTAGAAGGAGAGTGTTTGTGTCCAAAGACATCAACCAATCAAATTGCTTATCTCTGCTTACCTCAAGCAGAAAATGCTCATCTTCCAACTCTATCAAGGCATTGACCTAATAAACACCTACACTAAGTTTGAACATTCTAGCTTAATAATTAGAAGGCAAGTTATTGGGTTCCAATAAGTGTGATGGACAGGCGGGGGCAATAACATAGTTCCTATCATGTTCCTGAAGCAACGACTGCGATTTTTACAACATCTCTGGATGTTGCTGGATTACTTCACAATTCCCGAACTTACAGTTACATTATCTACAGACTCATGAACAGTAGCATCTAATCAGAGATTGTGACATAGTGACCTCCACAGAAACATTGACATTGATCGAACTTTGAACTTTGCAATTCAGCGAGAAAGCACGAGACTTGGTATTCGCGACAATCAAGGAATCTGATAGGGTCACAAGCTGGGCTTGTACCAAATCAAAATTAGGACCGAAATATGCAGGGTATTATGTGAAGGCCTCGATAAGATGTACGTAGTTAAAACAAGATCACGCCTTCTATTGAAGATGAGTTCCTATATACATGTAGAAAACCAAACTATGATTATGAACAAAAGGTTACTTTCCTAACTATACTGTGTACTCCTGTATACACAAGATCCGAAATAAATGTTTCACGCTGCGTTTTAAAGCTTATTGTTGATAAGAACTACACAAATACACATATTACATGAAATTTCTATGAGACTGCCAGTTGCGTTTTTTCTGACTGTAAAAGTAAACACATTAGAGTTAACTCCCTTGATGGGCGCATTTGATTGGGATGCACATAATTGTCTAGTTACATGTACATGAAGTACTGCAATTAAACCAGGTACAAATAAAATGTTTGAATATTTGTGGCCTATGTGCCTAAATAATTAAAATCATGTATGTGTAACCTACTGTAAACATGGCAAATACATATTAAGATGAAAATACATTATTAATAAAATCATTCTGTTATTAGATTTATAATATTAATAATGTTATCTTAAATTAAAAGGTTGAAAACTATTATTTTGTTGGGTTTTTTATATCTTAATTTGGTAAAGATATTGTATCGCGATACAAACTTGTATTTTCCCTTCTGTATCGCGATACAAACCGACTCTGTATCGTCACAACCCTACAGATGACTAAGGGTGTGACGACTAAGCAAAACTTGAACCGGTTAGTCGGCGGCTAAAAAACCGAACCGATTCGGTTTAGTCGGTAATGAAAACTAACTGAAAAATATTAGTCTTCCATAGTCTACAATACACGCTAATATACTGGCCTTTATATACGGAGCTTAAAACTGTAATGGGGACATACATACAGTTCTATGTTCTATGTGTCCAGTACATTAAAAAATTTGGTTTTGTTTGTACTATGTAGTTTGTTCAAATCTCCTGTTTAACCTTTTTAATAAAAGTAATAAATACAACATATAAAAAAACTTCAAACAATGACGTATTGATCAATAATATTAGTGATAAACCGACGAGAAAGCGTATCTGGGCATCAGATCAGTGCGCATGCCTATTGACCTAACCTGGAGGATTGCTTGTTTCTGATTGGGCACTTCAACCATTGACCTTAGCGACCGACCAATCAAATAACGTATTCTTAAAATAACTTCATTAGGTATTCAAAAACACACTCGCTTGTAATCGCGAGAATATCCACGACCGATTACGGAATATAGTAAATAAAGTATACTGTCTCGTTATTATTATTGTCGACCATTTATCAATGATGTAGCTTATTGCTTATTCGCCCCCATAATTGTCGATCGTTAATACATGTATCTTTTTAAAAAAAAAACATGTTATAATATACGGGCGACTGGTTTATATCATGCTGTATTTTTTAGACGACTATCGATTTCCCGAAACTTGAACCGGTTTGTAGGTAAAACAGAACCGACTCCGACTAAACCGACTAATCGTCACACCCTTACAGATGACATTATAATTTTCGTCGTTTGAGGGTTCACAAGGTTCTAAAAACTAAAATACGGGCCATAACACTGGAAGTAATCTACAGAAATTGTTGAAATTCGACAGGCTTTTTCGTTTTACTAATTCAAATAATGCATATAAATTCCATACAGATCGGATGATAACTCTTGTCGTTCGAATGTTCACAAGGTTCAACAAAGTAAAACAAGGGCCATAACTCTAGAAGTAATTGACGGAAATTGCTTACATTCAATAGGCTTCTTCATTTCATTAAATGAAGCATATAAATTTCGTACAGATTGGGTGATAACTTTTGTCGTTCGAGCGTTCACAAGATTCAACAAAGTGAAACTAGGGCCATAACTCTAGATGTAATTAACAGAAATTTGCCGAAACTCAATAGGCTTGTTTGTTTTACTAATTTAAACCATACATATAAATTTCATACAGATCGGATAATAACTTTTGTCGTCGGAACATTCACAAGGTACAACAAAGTGCAACAGGGGCCATAACTCACGGTGTAATTAACGGAAATTCCTGAAATTCAATAGGCTTCTTTGTTTTACTAATTTAAATGATGCACATAAATTTCATACAGATCGTTTGTTAACTTTTGTCATTTGAGCGTTCACGAGGTGCAACAAAGTGAAACAAGGGCCATAACTCTAGATGTAATCAACGGAAATTGCTGTAATTCAATAGGATTCTTTGTTTTACTACTTTAAATCATGCATATAAATTTCATACAGATTGGTTGATAACTTT